ATGGCATTTCGATATTTAACTACAGAAAATACACTAGTTCCTAGACTAACATAATAATACTTAGTAATTATGCATGTTCAATTACTGAAATTAGATTGTCATTAAAATACTTAAAATGATTAAAATATTTACACAGCAAATGTTCTCTTGGTTTACTACACTTATTACACTTATAACACTCAGTTATTGAGCCTAGTGTATTCTGTGATAATACGAATTATAACATTGATTATGCTCTTATCATATATAGATTCATTTACTTTACGACTACCTGTAGCATTAACTACCCTTCTGTAGTATTGTTCACCAAATGCCAAAATTTTGTTGGTTCTATGTTAATATCTTTTTATAATATGTGTAGGCAGGTTACTTTTCAATGTCAAATGTTTACTGTATTAGACTGTCACGATAATTTAGTGCACTAAGTCCTGCCAACCGACCTTACCTTCAGTCCATACTACCTAAATTGAACCTTAACTATAGTGTTCTGCTAAATCTTGCTCCACTATTCACAATACCTATTCTTTTTACTCTTTAATTTTTTAACTTCTTATAAAGTAATCTGTTCATTAGGGTGCATGCACACATATATAATATGTTCATAAAGATGTACGTGGAGACCTATTGGAAGCACTCATTCAGAAAGCTAGGGAGATGGAATATGGGGTACGAACATGTCTGGTACAAAGCAATATATTTGCGGTAGCCATAATAATCATAGTCTCAGGGCCTAACATCAAAAAAAGGAGGGAGGGTGACGCTAGCTGATCAGTAGATATGGTGGTGGTCACTAAGGTGAATCGCTCCATTCTGCAGGAACAGCAATACGCAATTTGACGGCTCGAGATATTTCTGATTTTTATGAGGGCTTAGATCTTTATCTTGAAAAAGATAATAATGAACGCCTTGACAGATCATGCTTCTGCCTTGAAATATATACCATTCACTCAGCCTATTGTTGAGATGCGACCACGCGGGATCTGCACAGATTTATGGGGCATCTTATAAATTAACTTGCCGTCCATTGTCGGATCTTTGAATACCACCTCACAATATCTTATCTCATTCATTTTCTAATAACGTCTTTACTTGATCCTCATTATATTCCATTAAACCTAACATTTTATAGCTCTTTATGAATTCGATTAAACTTATTCTGTTCCTATTCTCTGTAGGGTACGGTTGTGCACGAAATGCACAAAAAGGTATAAAATAAAAAAACCTGGCATGAGGATAAATGTATTAAGACCGAAATTGGACATCATGATAGTAAGACATATATGGGTGGCATTATATATTGCGAATGAACGTTGTCACCCCAGGGAGTTTCCTTTATAAATGCATTTATTAATGATACTTGCACTTACCTATTTCATTGTACTTTATTGATTCAACTTAGCGCTTTTACTTTTCTAAAACAGCTTTCAATCCCTTGTAAACGTTGTACTTACCTCAATATTGGTTGGCTATCCTATGCCTACAACCACAGGATGGAAACGAAACGAAGTCGATTTTCCCGCTTAACCCGGAGGACAACTGTACAATTCAATAACTATACGGCCTGGTTCAGACAATGAGTGTATTTATATGTGTATCAAATATTTAGCTGTTGAAACATTATTAACTTGTAGACAATCTACGATTTGATGCTATATCATACTTGATCGTGCCTGTAAAAATGGCATGCACTTTCATGTAAATTTATGTTTATATGAAAATACACATTGTTATAATATCTATTTTCTGAAACTGATCGGTTTTTCATGCCACTGATTTTTATAAATATTATATACATAAGGTCAAGTTTGAATCTGTTTGTGCTACTTCACCGTGGAAAGCTTGTCTGACAAAAGAGATCGTTGCGGAAAGTTGTGTGCCAATTCGCAACCGCATAATGGACGCAGTGTGATAGCTGAGATAGGTGGTTTCATTGCATGTGCACAAACCTAACTCCTGCCTCATACGAGCTCTGCTGAAAACCTCTGGCAAACTGACTTTTGAGTGACTGCCGACTAAGCTTCGTATAACGGAAGCCATTGCCACTCTCCGTGGGCCTCTAAGGCGCCTGGACCGCAAGGGTCCTCCACCATAGGGAAAGGGCAACCAATGCCCAGTCACCGATGACGTGACTAATGTCATCGACAAGACAATGCACCTTCCTGACTCGTTTATGTCAAGGAGTAAGTGCCTCTCAGCATAGAATAACACCCACCACATATCAAACACTCAAGCTGCCCCTATGATACTGGATAAGCCCTCCAGTGATAGTAATGGAAAGACTGGCGCGATGGAACTAAATAACCTGGGAAAATTTCCTATTAATGGGTCTCCGCGGGAGATTGCTGATTATTTGGAATGTTTCGATGCGTGGTGCATTTCAAAGAATGTTCGGGATGACAAAATACCAGCACATTTCATCACTGCTATTGGAGTAGATGCATATAACCTAGTGAAGAAGCTGGCGTTTCCAGATAAACCTATTTCTCTGTCATATGTCAAGATTCGTGAACTTCTGATAAATCACTTTCATGTAACTACATTTGAGACTAGAGAGAGGGCTCAATTCCATAAACTGGTCCGTGCTCCCAAGCAGAAGATAAGAGGCTTTATTCTTCAACTCCAAATACAAGCTTTAAAGTGTAACTTTGGAGATCAGCTGCATACTCAACTACGTGATCGTCTGATTGCTGGAATAAATATTCCTAAGTTAGAGAAAGAGTTAATTCAGATTCCTTCTTGTACTTTTCAAACTGCTAAAGATTTATGTATTACATATGAAGATGTCAATAATGAATACTCTGCTCCCACTACGTCAGTATCTGATGTCATGCTTTCTAAAGTCGAAAATACAAGTTGTCATGGAAAGCAATCCAAACTGTTGTCCACAGGTAATAGAATGCAGCGAGAGATCAAAAACGTTAAGCCGTGTTTATCCTGTGGAAAGTTACATCTACGAAGCACTTGCCGTTTTCGGGGTGCTAAGTGTCACAAATGTGGTAAAGTTGGACACATCAAGACTGTTCGCAGAAGTTCGAATACTTATGTTGCTCAACATTCTTATAATTCTCCCAATCTGTCTAGTAAAATGGAGTCAATGTGTCTTTCAATCTTTCAAAATACTCAAGCTAATCCAATGAAAACCTCCACTACAAGTTCGGCAACTCAAGTGTCAACTGTTTTCAAAAATGTGGCAGCCGAGTTACAATGTGGACTGTCGAAAACACGAAAAAACCTGAATGAGTTGAGAGAGCAACTGATTAAAATGGATGAATTGATGCATATACATAGACTGCGTCTGTTGAATGCAGAGCATACAAGTGCCCGTGAAAGTCCTGCAAAACTTTTCAAATCTTGAATTCTCAAAAAGCATCTGATGTCCACGACTTCTAATGTACATTCTTACAAGGGGAAAGACTATAGACCTTCTGTTGGAATTATACTACAAAAAATGGGAAATCGAGTGGTGAAGATATCAGACATCAAAGATCACTCAGTTCATAACAGACACCTGAACAAAGTGACAATAAATGAAGTAGGTCGTTCCAATTATAATATTATTGATTCCGCTACTAATCCTGATTTTGTAGATAATTCAGAAATAGGTCCAGATAATACTGATGGAAATGATATCACAGAATCAGTTAGGTCGAAGCTACTTGCAAGCAAACCGAGACATCGATATAAATACTCAAGGAGATATTCGAAGTGTGGAGGATGTGGTGATTGACAATTTCTATCTCTGTATTGTTTAAATACTTACTGTTGACTGTTAATATGTTTCTTATATGAATTGCATAATAATTCCGCTAAATACAAATTCCTGAGTTCTGCCCTCTCTGTGTTTTGGTTGGATTCGTGTAATTCGGTCATCTCGAAATACTAATACTACGACTACAATAAAATACTACACCAGGGGTCGAAGACCCGCAGCTCAAGTCGCCCAGGGACTTGTAAATCAAGCCTCATCAGAAAGAGCGAAGAGAACCCTTAGTTTAAGTGTTTTCAGGTTGCCGGATTTCGAAATTCAATGATCCCGAAACATCTGTGCGTAGGCCACGAAAGCACCAAACTGTGTTGGCAGTTTGCTATTCAAATGCCCACAGGTTGCTGAACGAAAGGACTGAGCTGCGTAATAGGATAGATTCCGGAAATTCGGATGTTATTATCATCACACAGACATGGCTCACACCCAACGCCATTGATATCGAAGTTAACCTGCCAAACTTCGAAGTGCACAGGGTGGGCTGACTAAGATATAAAGGAGGTGGCATTTTCATCTGCCTCAAGAAATGCTTAACCGTGTGTACCATTGAAGCAGTCGCTCACGAAAGTGAATCGTGCGAACTTCTACGCTGCATAACTAAGTCCATAGGACACGATATCAACTTCATCTCCGTATACCGCAGTCCTGACTGCAGTGCAGACGACTTCCTAGTAGAGAAGCTAGGCTCATGGACACCGAAACGTCGATGTCTCGTGAGTTCAATACTGGAAAACCGTATACAGGCAGTCTGTCCTTGTCTTAAGGGGAACTCACATATTCTAGAAAGGGAAGGCAACACGTATAATTCTCGGTATTCTTAATTTGTCATACTATGAAAGACTATACAGTTTAAATCTCTTCTCTCTGTCATACCGTGGGTAGAGAGGAGATTTAATTACTGTGTTTAATATTTTAAATAATCGCTATGGTCCTGACCTATTTTCTCTTTTCCTTCCCAACAGATCGGAAAACCTTGTAGGATATAGCAGGAGAGTTCAGAAGTGAAGATAAAATCATAAAGCTGTGGAGTGCTGGTTCTCACACCGAGTCATAAACTCTTGGAACCGACTCTCAGAAGAAGTTGCATCTGCAACCTTAACTATTTCATTCAAGAAGGGTTTGGACAATCACAGAAATTTACTAGAAAGGATTGACATAGGCTCCAAGTTTTCTATCCTCAACCAATAAATCCGAATCTGAAACCAATTGCTAACCTGCGAAATAACGGACACAATAGCGTCTTAGTCTGAGCACATACCGGAGATAGTCCAGAAAGCTAGACATATCTCCTGCTTCATACTACACCAAGAATAGATATATCAGTTTAGATTGTAAAAGCAGTAATGGACATATTAGACATCGGATGTGAAATATTTATGTTTAAAGTCTTAACTTTTGAAGAGGAATATATAACTTGAAGGCCGTTGCGGCATTTCAAGTTTCTCGTGAGGTCGGTTTTCAATTATTAAAAGAGGTGAGTCTAAATTATGCTATATCATGATGGAACATTGAGACAGCGTGCTGTGATTTTTTTAAAATGTAGACTGTATCGTGGCATCACTGCTTTGGCGCAAACCATACATTCTCTTTAAAACCATCTGAAGTCTAGCATGGCAAGATTATTTTTCTGCATCATATGTATGTTGCTGTTATGTAGTGATTCATATGACTTTACCTGCTGTAGAATTTTTAGATACCTGTCAATTTCCGCTTTGTTCACATGATGTGTCTGTTTTCTAATATATGTGTGCATATATGTGGTCAAAATTCGTAATAGGTAGTTTTAACCCACTGTTACACATGAAAAGCTCAATAGGTTATGGTATTACCAAATTTTCCAAAGATCATCTTTCTTGGATGTTTTTTTAGTGAACTGTTATTGTGTTATGCTGTACAAATCTAACATTGTCTGAGTAACATTAGTTCACTAATTCTCTCTGTTCATATTTATTGATAAGTTTACAACGAACGTTTAGAATATAGCTGGATTAACTCACTCTGCTTTACTTAGGAATTACTTAAATAGAGATCTCTTAAGTCGAAATATTGAGCAAGTTCTTGCTGTCTTCCTCACCATTGAATTGTGATTGTTGATTAGTTCCTTAGGAAGTTATTAATCCGATATCCTTTGGACATAAAGCAATTGGTAGGCTTTCTGTTTGGTAGTATACTATCTAAATGCTGCGGTATTTGACACCAGTATTTTAATCCCATTGTCTATCTGAACGATTGTGAAGCTTGAAACAATAATAGTAAATTCCACTGAGGGTCCCAAGATGTTACTCCTTATTAGAAATGACATATATTCACACATGTGATGCATACTGCATTGTTGATCAGGTAAGTTACTGATTATGGCGTCACTTACAAAAACACATTACAAATTGTCAGACGTGACACAGGGATTTTGATCTATCCATTTCATTTGTTTCCCATGTAAAGGTATTTATACAGAGCTGGAAACTAATAGCAATAGCAGTGTAGACATCGTTGCGTTTGCACCGTTATTTGTCAAGATAATAGAACTATGGTTCTGTAGGATAGACCCATTAAAAAGCTTAGTTGTTGAGTCAATATTTCTTGACCGTTATTCCAGTATTGTTTAACAGTGAGTGGGTGGATGGGTGGGGTTCACTTTGATCTATGGGAATTATTAAAGGAGTAGCTATACATCTGAATTGCGAGGTCAATTCCGACATTCCCTGTCACTCCCGTGACTTTCATAGTGTTCACTGTTTGCTAGCCCAAGGATTGGTTGGAAACACTGAAGAGGTGATCGATTAATAACGTAGCATTCTGATATAAATGATAGATGTGACTCGGTTATTCAAAACACTATCAAATATGACTCAAAACCAGAACCACCAGTGAACATTCTTCAATTTTGCTTTCTACTATTACTGAAAGTAATATGAAGTACAGTAACTTTTGATAAACACACATGTATCGCCACAATGTAGTTCATCAAATATCCAGTTCCATTTTCCTTTATGTTGTTTCATTGTTTTGCATGACGCCTCAGTGTTGATTCTGCAACAGGTTTGCATTTCAAGTAAAATAAATAGATGCGGTCTTGTAAACACCTTCAACAGTAATTTTAGTATATTTGGCATGTGACTCATTGCTGTCAAATGCATATGGCTGCTGCGTTGTTGGGTTGTGCAAACTTCTAGTTTAAGGAGAGTGATGTGGTTGTGAATAAGCACATCACTTGTTTGGGAAGTTGTATCAGCCTTAATCGACTGATTGCTGACGAAATCTCAGGAAGGATATAAAAGGGTCCTGGAGCTTTCACCGACTTACTTAATCTACAGCATAGGCGTTTATACCCAACTATCCATTAGACAAAGTGTTTATTGCTCACCAGTTCAATCTGTCCTATATGGCTGTAAAACGTGGTCGTTGAAAGTGAGGTTAAAGAGACTATTTTTCTTTTGCGATGAGTATTTGCATTGTATATCCCTCTTTAAGTGATGTGATATAGTAGACATGGGGTATTATCTAAGGAGGGTAAGTTAGTCGGAAAGGTTATGAAACTACACATAATTTGATGGCTAGGACATGTGTTACTCATACCAAGCCATTAACTTCGTTGAGCAATGTTAGCTGACATAGGAATAAGTTAGAAGAGAGTTAGGAGTGGTCAGGTCAAAACATGGCACCAATCCAATAAGCTTTTGATTGTTGGTTTGAGCTAGCTACTTGAGGGAGGGGGGTCGTAGACTGTCTGACTGGGGTCTACGTGATGTATCGAACCACTATATGGATATTGTTATTGACATTGCGCAAAATGGTTCTCAGTGATGCAGATGTATTTATTCGCAATTAACTTGTAGATCTATCAAATTCTCATTATCCTGCATTTATTCACATTTCTGTTCATTGTAGTTCCTTTGCATTTGTGCGCTTTTGAATTGAGGCAACTTAAACTAGTGAAGGTAGAGGCAATTCAATTCATTTATGAATTGGAAAGTCAGGATGGGGAGCTTCAAATGTTTGATTGCACTGTAAAAAGGAAAGATGATGGGAAGTTAAACACTAGTGTTTACAGAAAACCCACACATTCAAACAGATATTTGGACTTCCGATCATCCCATCCTATGTCATTAAAAATAGGATAGGCGAAATGTTTAAATGAGAGCACAGAAACTAAGTAGTATCAAGGAAAATCTAAGACAGGAAGTGATACACATAAAAGAAGCCTTAAAACTTAATAATTACCCGGATAAATTAGTCAGGAAATATGTAAGGAAATGTAAAAATAAAATAAATAATGATAGTAGCGATGGTTACAATAATAATGATAATAACAATAGTGATAATAATAACGTTAATGACGACACCAACAATAAGGAATCTAAATCATCAGTAATTCCATACAAGGAAGGAACCTCGGAAACCTTACGCAGAATTCTTAACAAGACAGGAATGAAAGTGGCTGGCATTCACACCCAGAAACTCATTTAGAAACATGCTTTGTCGGTTAAAGGATCATGTGGAGCCTTTAAAACAAAACAACCTAGTTTATCTAATACCCTGCCTGCAATGATTGTCAGGTCAAATACATAGGTCAAACTAGTAGAGCAGGGGCAGTCAGTCAGACTAGCTGAACATGAAAACCTAGCAAAATCTAGATTGGTTGACCCGAATAAGATAAGAAATCTAGAGAATAGTTCAGCTATAGCACTCGCTACATGCAATTACACACAACCATACAATAGGACGGGTGGGATAAGATGACAGTTTTAATATCTAATGTAACAGGGTGTAGGGAGGGAGAGATTGATAACAGAAGCTTTCTTTATCGAATCAGCTGCAAATACGTATAATAGGAATGATTCAACACCTGTCCCAGATGTCTGGAGAATTCTACTACCCATACGACAAATAGGCGAAGTTTCGAAGTCATGTGGTTATAATTGATATGATTATGAACAATAAATTTTGTTCGAAACTTTATCCTTCAGTAAATAATACTGTTTCATTGCGTGATACATATAATAAACAATATGGAATTAAACTAGTGAACTTTTGCGCAAAGTTTTACGTTAAAATTCAGTCAGTCAGTCAATCAGTAAGTAAGTAAATAAATACTTGTCAGTACAAAAGTGAGGGGTAGACAAATAGACTGTACTTTTTAGCATTTTAAATATTTATCAGGTTTATAGAATAGTAAATAAAAATTCCAGTCAAGATATCTTTTCCTGTTATTTGTATTTCTTACCGCTGTACTTTTTGTTGTACAGTGTGACTGACCGACTGATTTCTTGGATTGGTTCCGTATTAGTAAACTCACCGCCACTTACGGACCATCGTAGGGATGTACACTTTTTGGGGTCGACCTTTTCTAACCCTCCCCCTCCAGAGTTGAGAGACAGCATAGCTGGCTGACATGCTGGGCATCTGAGGGAAGCATCTTACTGCTGTCACACCCCTGTTCTCTAGCAGCACGACTTTGCTCACAACCCCAGTATAGTGTAAAAAATTCTTACACTATTCCGGTAACTGCTTTTAGTTTAATCGCTATTCTAACAACCTTCCTGGCATGGTAGGACCTTCAGGAACAATGGTTCCAGCCAGTGTAGCTTGTTAGGTCATTGCGATATGCGTAAGCCTGGCGGCCACCACGTCAAGGTAGCAGCTGTCGGTGAAGTGTATGGTGTAAGATATATTATAAGTATTGTTTAGTTCATCTTGGTAACTGAGACCACGTTAAAAGATGATTTTTATATTTTAAATGTGCATGGAAATCATAAATATGATAGATGGTGGAGCCTTATCACGAAAACATCAACACATTTAATAGGTTTGGATGTATTAAGTGTTGCACAATGTGTAAAGATAATTTCAAAAGTGATTGAGGAAATGGAATTAGATTTCCTATAATGATAAAAAAATTTATAGGTGACATTGAAAGAGAAAAAAAGGCCCATATAGAAACAAAGTTAGCACGACTTTGTTTCCTTCATGCAATCGAATTTTTTTCATGTATTGAGGTAAGAGCTTCTGTAGTGCGAAGAACTGAAACAAATTAAATTTTCAGCAGATTGATTTTATATCGTAGATGACTTAAAAGGCTGAATTCATACGTGGGACTGTGAACAGTGTTGAAAATGCCTTCAGTTATGGCATTTCTGTTATCTACTATTATCCCTCTGCATCCCTCCAACTGTTTGACGTATCAAAGTGATCACATGAAGGTTGTTAGGAAACATTGACAGACTTAACACCATTGACCCACAAGGTTAAAGCAGACGAAGTCTTCACTAAGAGGCTAACATTTCTCTTTAGGATATCAACAGTAAAATCGCCTTTTAAGGTCAGATTCGCTAGCAATTAAAGTGAATGTTTCTCTTTTTGGTTTAATTTTTTTTGGTGTCATTTTTGTTGTCATATTATGCCTTACAAGTGTTTCCTGCTAAGGCTAATTTGATAAACGATGCACCAGTTATAAGGCAGTTGAAAATAAGTCACAACTTCGTAATGCACATGGTATTTAAGTGTTATACTTATTGTAATTTTGCATACCAGATATTTCAGTGTTTGTCATTTTCAATTTGACCTTAAATGGTGTTTTTTTATTTTGCATTTATTACATTACCTTAATAGGCGCCTACAGTTATGTCAAATAATTTGACCTATCAAGCTTCACATATCACTCATGACCAACGTGTTTCTCTCTGTAAGAGAAGTTGGCTTCGTGGCTGTACAGTTTGGTTCACAGGTATTTTTAAATTTTAACGAATTATTTGTGTGATTTAATCAGTTGAGTATCTCTGCCTTCATATTAATGCTTTAAAAGTCTTTTAACGATTAATTAAGTGGTATAATGAAGTGAGCAATATTGAGGTTAGGCATCGGTCAAGTGCTTGATAAAGGGGCAGGGAATGAATCGACAGGGTTGTGAAGTTACATCGATTGAGATGACTACGACATGTGTTACGCATGCCTAGCCGTCGCCTTCCTCGACGGGAAATGTTAGCTGATCTAGGAGTGATCAGGTGGGAAAAGAGTTAATGGCTGCTGGTGAAACCACAACATGACTTCATCAGTCAATGAAATCCACAACAGTTAGTTTAAACCAGCCAGCCGCGTAGGGAGGTGTAGACTCCTGACTGGTTGGGATCCTTGTGATTCCAAGATCCAATGTCTGGAGACAATTGGTGATATGACTCAAAATCGCTCCCAATGGCGCAGATGCACCCACTCCTTGTGACTTATAATTTGTAATAAAACTATATTGTTCTTCGTTATTACTATTCCTCTATCTCACACCTCTGTTTACTGTCTCTAATATGCATTTCTTCTACTTTCTTCTCTTGCTTTGTGTGCTACAAGGAGGAAGTGTGGCGACTTGAACTGCTGCACATCGGTGTAAAGTTCTATGTCGAAAACAGACAGACAGTATGTTTAACTACATCAGCTTACTTGGCTTAGGGTTCGAAGAACTTTAATAGTAGTCAGTCTTTTTATTCAAATGCAACACAAACACAATCTTGGGGGATATTTTGCGTGTTTCGTTACTATAAAGTGAAAAGCTTTTATGCATTTTGCCTTCTCTTTCTACAATATAAACTGTTGATATGACATTTCTTGTTTGATGTTATGCAAAAAACAATATTTTGTTTGTGAGGTGTGTTCGCTGTGTTTTTCTGCAAATTATTTAGACCTAGTAGAGATTTAAGTGTAGCTAACTGATCTGGAGAGTTGTCTTTTAACCTGTAGGTTACAAATTCAAACTCTCCCGTCTACCAAAAATGTTCATAATGCCCGAAGTAGTAGTTAGTCTCATAATTTAAAGTTTTTATGCTTTGGTAGTCATTGATTGGCTACACAATACTTTTTAACTTGATATTTCCTAAGGTTGTATGCTATATACATGCATAATGTATCCCCCTTCATAAGCGACCTGGTATGGCCGAGTGTGAGAGTAGACTTTGATCTTCTTATCGAAATGCTTTCATGTCACCATGAGTTCAAAGCCTCTTCCAGATAAATTCTATTCACCTTCTTAAGATAAGATAAGATAATAGCTTTATTCCAAATCAGTACTTGTGATACAGAATGGAATTCTTAGCATTTTACTACAATATTGCATCCAGTTAGTACGTTAACAATAAATAAAGTTCTACATAGATTAAAGTTATCTCAGTCAGTTTTGACAACAACATATTAGCATGTCGGTAGCAAAGCCAAAATTTTAAACAGAGTGTTTGAAGGTGTTAGAAAAGTAGATACTACTAGCATATTTACTGGCGTAAGCGATAGCAAAATGGTCGAGGTATACAGAGTGTGAAAGAACGAACAAGAATGTTTTAAGTAGAGTTTGTAAGGAAGAGAGAAACAAAACAGCACATAACAAAAATAAATACAGAAAAAAAAGGTAGAGAGTTAAAACGTTGTACCTGTAAATGATGTGAGTTGGAAAGACGAGATCCATTGTTCTACTGACTATTTAATAAGTTAAAGGTTTCACGCCTAATGCTTTCTTTATCGCACAGAACACGAGCTAGGTAGGGTATGGATGAGTTTTTGTACTTACTATATAGGCTTCTGGTTTTCCCTGAAGAGATACATGGGGAGAGTTGTGAATGTAGAGGGTGTTGTGAGTCAGATAAAATGGATTTCGCCCATTTTTCACATGAGTCCATGTGCCTGTCCACCAGAATATTAACAAGCTGGCTAAGTGGCAAACTGCTTACCCTGCTGACAACCTTTAACATCCTACGTAATAAGGTATAGTCTTTCTTCAATAGCCCAGGAAAGACTAAGGGGGAACAATAGAGAATAATAGGCAGAATACGAGAGTTAACAAATTGTAGGAGTAAGGGTTGGGTTACACCAGAATGTCTTAACTTCTTGATGTAGAAGGTAAGACGGAATATTTTCTTAGAAATCGTCAAGATATGAGACGACCAGGAAAGATCAGAAGATAGAGTGACGCCTAGGTATTTAATTTCCGACTTGGTTTCTATTTCAGTGCCATCTATGTTGCACACCTCGTGAGTGCTAACCAGTTTGTTTAGGTCAGATTTGTGCCTAAAGGTGAAATTAACTGTTTGGCATTTGGAGGGGTTTAAGGTGAGACCGTTTTCCTTGGACCATTGGCTGATTTCTGATAAGAAGCCATTTAGTTTAGAGCAGTCACTTTGACATTTGACAGGTAAAGATACAGTTAGGTCATCAGCATATTTGACAAAGTTAATGTCATTTGAAGATGGTAGGTCATGTAGAAAGAATGAAAAGAGAAGTGGGGAGAGTACAGCACCTTGGGGGACACCAGCTTCAGTGAGCACAGCAGAGGAGGATTCGCCTTTGTATACGGTGTACTGCATTCTGTTTGAAAAGTAGGAATGCAACCAGTTAGTGACCCAGGACTCGGTTTGTGTCATGGAGAGCTTATTTAGCAAGAGACATCTAGGTACAGAGTCGAAAGCAGAAGTGAAGTCAAGAAACGTGCAGCGGACATATTTGGCACCTTTATCTAATGATGAGACAATACTGTTGTGTAAGACGGCTGCAGCGTCTAAAGTACTCCTACCCTGTCTGTAGGCAAATTGTTTGGGGTCTTCGAAGCTTTTAAGGGGGGGTTCGAGTTTAAGAAGTACTAGTTTTTCCATGAGCTTTAGAAACGGGGAAGTGATGGCAATGGGTCTGAACTTTACGTTCTTGCTATTGCCAGGTTTAGGGACAGGGACTATTTTAATGTCTTTCCATGGAACAGGTACAACGTTTTCGGAGAAAGAAGCATTTAGGATATTAGTTAGAGGAGAACATAAAGCATCTGCACATTGTTTTAGAACATATGCAGGTATGCCATCAGGGCCAAGACTATGTGAGGGCTTAAGAGTTTTAAGACATTGTAAAACATCAAGAGTGTTAAAGTCCTGGAAGTTATCAGCTACAAGATTAGTAACGTTAGAAGTGGTTATAGTAGAAGGAGAGCGTATAAAAGACAGATTAAGAGCATTAACATCACAAGAGGGAAAAACATTACATCGCTTACTATTGCCAGTAATTTCATTGAAAAATTTCCACATGCTGATAGGAGATTTGCACGCTGTGGGGCTGTTCTTCACAAAAGTGAAAGAGTGAATTCCAACGTCTGGTGCTAACAGTTAAACTGGTGGATATGCTAGTTTACCTAGGGTAGTTCGAATGGATCGAATGGTGTATGAATCTGTTTTTTTCCTTCACGTTCCCAGTGGAACATAGGGCTTCAAGCGTGAGACTTGAAGTTTCTGCAGCAGTGTTTATTTCTACAGGATGGGGTTGCTAGCCTCATGCCTAAATTTCTCTCTTTATCAGCTTTATTACTGGCTTAGAGAGGTAAAGGAGTGCGTCGGCCGGAGATCGAAACTCGAACCTTGTGAATGGTCGGCGAGCGTCCTAACCTCTATGCCACCGACGCACACATGAACCTGTTTTGGTCACCGGAAATCATGGGAATCCAGCTCTACTACCTTGGGGGGTCAGCCTCCAAGTTAAGGTCTGTTTGTTTTCGACATAGAACTTTGCACCGATGTGCGGAAGTTCAAGTCGCCACACTCCCTCCTTGTAGCACACAAAGCAACGGGAGAAAGTAGAAGAAATGCATATTAGAGACAGTAAACAGAGGTGTGAGACAGAGGAATAGTAATAACGAAGAACAATATAGTTTCATTGGAAATTATAAGTCACAAGGAGAGGATGCATCTGCGCCATTGGGAGCGATTTTGAGTCATATCACCAATTGTCTTCAGCCACTGGTGTTTACCGTCCCGAGGACCCCCAACCAAGAAGTCTGCATCTTCCTACATGGCTTAAACTGACTGTTGTGGATTTTGTTGGCTGATGAAGCCATGTTTTGGTTTGACCGCCGCTAGCTATTCTCCAGCCTGACCCTACGTCAGCTAACACTGCCCGTCGAGGACAAGACAAGGACCCGGGGTGGTGGTGGTGGTGGGGGGAAGGTAGCTTCTTAAGACAACCGCCAGCTCCAGTTTAGGCGTTCGGCCAGTATGTCGACATACTAGGACTGATCAGTTCTAGCTAAAACAATATGATTTTTTGTGGTTCATCTCTTGGCGACCATAATGTATCAAGTGTGTATTTCAATACATATAGCAATAATGTACATTTATTTAGAAAAAAAATGGTAATATATGTGTATATTTCACAAGTTGTGACGTTAATCTTGTTTATTGGGAGGTCTTATTGTAAACATCATATACCTTAACGCTAAATAATCACATATAAAACGGATATTGTGTAATTAATTAAAGCTGAAAATTACAATATCTTGACGTTTATCATTACTTATTGAGGTTGAGAAAGCCCCTCTCTTTATTTATTACGTGTGTTATGGCCATCACATGGCTGAATTTCGTGAATGGCATTTTTATGCACAGTTTTTCACTCAAACTGAATATATTGGTTTATACTCTGATAGTTAAAATCAACATATTTAATTGGAAGTTGTGGTCAAATGAGAGAGAGAGAGAGAGAGGGAGGTATAAACACTTGCCATTCCATGCAGTTAGCAATGACCAACACCTGTCGTGTAAAGGTTGGTAATACGACCTGGTTGTTTAAACCTTGGGAGGAGGCAACAGGGTTCGAACCCCTTGACCCATTGGTTAGAAATTGAGTCTAAACCAATGAGCTAAAGTCTTCCTATAAGGTGGTGTGGAATTCGATTTGATTCAATGTAGACTTCTCATCACCGGTAGTAGTGGTACATATTCAGCTGATCGACATTTAATAGAGTAAAGAGCATATTCTATATTCCACTGGTAGTTATAACAGAATAGTATTTTGATAATAGTAACTATTACTCCACTCTCTTTTGAAAGTGTTCTACATGCGATATAATCTATGCCGTTAGTTTCTACTAATCTCACAAACTTTTTCTCTGCTTGAACTTACTTACCTAGAATAAATATTTTGTGTGCGAGATCATTAACTGCACTTATGAGAGCTGTTGATACTGTCCAGTTCCAGCTCATGCTGGAATATGTGAGCCCTAGACCGACTGAATGAAAGCTGAATACTCCATAAAAGTCACATTACTCCACCTCACACTCCCTCATAATTGTTTTTGTTCATTAGCATACTCTACAGGAGTACTGTTGTTAGTGTATTCAGCTTCAAGTTATCCAATAATATCTCGGTTTAATATCTCCAGAGTTACGAGATATGCGACGTCTGTTCGACTAATATATTTAACGACACCACATCTCATTATTCATATTGACATATTTTACATTTGAATTTAATGAAGAACCGACTTCATTTAAAGAACCATTGAAAACGTTGGAGTACTGGGCAGCTGTTTCTCCCACTTTAGGATTCTTCAGCAGCATTCACCGATGACCTTACTGGGGATTGAACTCAGTGTCTTTAGGTGATGAGTTGAGGCTGTTGATCATTCAACCACTGGGACGAGATCCAATAACCAATTCACGATGTAACGCGATCTCTAGCCAATGTCGTCGGTGGATATCTGTCTTCATGCCCAAGTTTGTGGACCCCCTCCCCCTGATCACGAATTCCCATTAGAACTTCCCATCAGACAACTTCATCTTCTACTTCGTCGGTTTGCTAGTGAGTACTAGATTGATTTTCAAGTGCTAGTTTACTGGTGTTTAATCGATTTTTATTCAGATCTCAAACTAATTTCAGTTAGAGAACCATTGAAAACCAGGGAGTACTGAACTGTCGTTTTGTCCTTGTTCGGGACTGTTTTTTTTCAGTAATGGTGGGTATAATTTCTCGAATACTGAAATTTAAAAAAAACAACCAAATTGTCTTCTCTTATTTAGGTTTAAGTGGAGCGGGTAAAACTACTCTAGCCTTTGCACTAGAAAGTTATCTAGTTAAACAAGGCATATCAGCTTATGTACTGGACGGGGATAATATTCGTTCAGGGTTGAATAAAAACTTGGGATTCAGTGATGCAGATCGTGTGGAAAATATTCGACGAGTTAGTGAAGTGGCCAAATTATTCGCGGATGCCAATAATATCTGTTTAACTAGTTTTATTAGTCCATTTGCAAGTGTAAGTTATTTTTAAGAAATGTGAAGTTTTAGTCAGTTTTATACGCTTTGCTTTGCTAATTATTATTTTAATTATTATTATCATTATAATTATATGGTAAAAAGCTGAAGAAAAAACGAAGGGTAGTAGATGTATGACAATTGTGTTAGTATGTGCTCAGAAGTAACTGTGATTTACAGACATATATATATATATATATATATGTGTTTTACTGTCGATCGCATTTTGTGGTCATGTAATTTAAGTGGGTGGGGTTGACGGTGTCTAGCAGTTTGCTAATCTACTCATAAGGATGATTTGGTCCAAGTATAAATCTTTGTTCACTTTGTAAATGATTCTGAATGATGAGTCACTTGCGACCCTGTGACAGACTTCTACGTATGACCACTACAATGTGCATATATCAATCAGTTCAACTGCTCGTGAGGAGCTAGGTACGTACATAGGTAGTTCAAAACGTGTTAGAGAACATTATCCAGTATAGCTGCAAAGAGAAAGCACTAGTTTGCATTCAGAAGCGCCATAACTGAACACCTCATCATTACCTGTCACATTATCTCAACTGACTCATCATTCAGAGTCATTTTCAAAGTAAACAAAAATCTATCAAAGGTGTAGTGTGTTTCCAACTCCTTTGTACTGCAGAAGCTGTGTGTTCAGAAGACACTAGTCCAACCTTCACAACTACCATGGACCTAGTTCGGCATGTTCCGTTAGCCTTCAGTCTCATTTTTTTGTTTTGTTCGCTGTGAGTGCATTTTTCCTTTCTTTATCTTCATTCAATTCATCCCATTTTTCTCACTTATAGGAACAGTTATTTTAAGTTTGTTCTCCATGGTCTTCCTGCTCACACTTGTAATTCGTTTAAAATAACTATTTTTTCACTTATATTCTAATCTTGTATAATTTTTAGTCTCTAAGACTGTTGTTATCTATATTCACACCGACTAACTTCCATTTCAAGTTGAAAATTATGATTTCAGTTTGTTTCCAAGTGGAAATCAGCGAATAGTCTTGTTGCCTAGTTGTTCAAATATATATGCAGGCGGTAATTCAAAATAGTTCATTACTGATAAAACCTGAGGACTGTAGTTAATGAGTCTATAATGACCCATATTGTTGATAATTTTGTCTCCACAAACAACCTACCTGGTACAGTCGAAGGTAGGCAGACTTTAGTCTTCCTCTGGAAGTGCTCCCACGTGACCACGTGTTCATAGCCTTCTGCCTTTACACTGTAGCAGGTGTTCGTCACAAAAGTGAAAGTGTGAATGCAAACTGGTCTACCTAGTGGAAGTGGGAAACCCTAATTCGAAATCCATGGTGTGTACGTAAACCGTGCCAACGCACCTCCTGACAGCGCTTCACTGCCTTGTGGATCAGGCTACAAGTCAGAATCTCTTGAGATAGCCACCTGTTGTGGTCTGGGTTTTCGGGCAGTATCCCTCCCGTCACACAAACTATGAGATTTCGTGTAGTGCATCTCTTGGTGCCCATATTGTATCAAGTTTGTGTTTTTGATAAATCAATAACTGATATTTATGGTCGGAGATTCCACAAATTGTTGTCTTTGAACAGAACAGTTATGCCCTACTTTATTTTTGTATAATATGATCATTAGAAATGTGCTAATCACCACGAATATATGACCATTGTTGTTGTGTATGCCTTCTTGGAACCGCTATGTGAGTAATATTCTGGCAACGTGTATTCTTAGACAACGGAGGTAAATTATTTTGTGAAGTCGTACAACTCTGTCGTTCTAGGTAGTTAACACATTTATTCTAGACAACTTTCACTCCTAGTTTGGGAGTCATCGGCACTATGCACCCACCTCTAGGGTTCGAACCCAGGACCTTCCGATTACAAGACAAGTTGGCTCGTATACCATTCAGTCACTGGGACCCGATTCAATGGCCAGTGCATGAATTCTAACTTCTACCAATTCGTGATTTGGAGCAACCCCAACCAATGTCGTCGGTGGGACATCTATCCTCACACGTGAACTCTGGATGAACCTCACTGGTCATGACTTCTCACTAGAAATCCAGGAAACTCCATCCCTGGTTCTCATTGGTTCGCTAACTGATATCAAACCGTGATCAACTCGTAAAAACATAACTAACCCTTACAAACCAAACTATGGAAAACCTTCACTCCGATTTGCAATACTCACTGAAGTAGGACTGAGAGAAAAGCTAGACACTGGCATGACATCTAGTCATGATGATATGGGCAGTATAGAAAAGTGTGGGATCCAGCTAGAATTCATGAGACAATCGAAGTAGGCAATTGGAAACTCTTGATTATCTGACACATAACGGTTGCACGGTTCATGATTGTCAGCTGAAGTCTAGTCCCTACATATTTGAGTATTGAATTAATAAGTCAGGTTGTAGACAGCTGGACTATCTAGTTAGAGCAGCTTTTGTAAAAATGAACCATCGGGCTTCATGCTTAGTCACATTTCCCTCCTAGTACTACAGTCTAGATATGCCTGAAAAATTATTCTTTGTGAATAAACATCACTGAATTGTTTGTTTCTGGTTACAATAAGGTGAATATAATTGAATCAGTTGGAACATTTTTCATAACCAATGGCTATCTATCAGCTATTTTTGTTTATGTGTTGATGTCAGATGATTGATACAGGCGTGTTTTACTGCGAGATGGTTAAAGACAACTGGTAGGACGTCCTGGATATAGGATTCGTACTTGTTGGCACTCTCCAATCGGCAAGGCGTATCCACGGTCTGAAAGGAACTCATGTCTCTTTTGAGATTCGAACCTGGACCATCCAGTAGTGCTGCAGTAATCAGACGTTACGACTGAGGTATTCGGGTCCTGGATAGACCTCCTGTAGGTTTGTAATGGTTACTTTCATCGGACACACTAGGTTGTAACTAATGTCCTGCAGAAGGTCAACCGCGAACCCGAATAGCTCAGTGCTAAAGTGTCTGATTGTAGCACTGGATAACCTGGGTTCGAGTCTCAGGAGGAACATGAGTTCCTTCGAGATTACAGATACTCCTTGCTGGTTGAAAAGTTGCCAACAAGCACGAAATTTAGGTCGAGGACTTCCTGCCAGTTGTCTTCAACCATCTCTCAGCATATCAGAAGTGCACTATGATGGCAAACCACCTAGTAGTGGCATGACGGCTACACTGCAAACTTGACTGATAGAATTGAATAATAACAAGAAGAAAATATTTATCCTCTCTCATATTTTAAATATTTTTCTTTCTCTTGAGATCAGGATCGGGAAGCAGCTCGCCAACTACATCTACAAAACAAGTTACCATTTTTTGAAGTTTACCTTGCAACTCCATTAGAAGTGTGTGAAAAACGAGATGTAAAAGGCTTGTATAAACGAGCACGTGCTGGTGAAATAAGGAATTTTACTGGTGTTTCAGCGGTCTATGAAAATCCAAACAATCCTGATTTAGTATTAAACACTGAATTGTATTCAGTTCAAGAGTGTGTATCAAAATGCGTTGAAATGTTGGTGGAAGGTGTAAGTAATTTTTAATCATTGGTTAGGTGATTTTTTAAAATTTATTTATTTTATTTATCCCTTTTCTTTCCCGGTGAGAAATAGGGCTTGAAGCTAGAGCTTTGAAGTTTCGGTAGTAGTGGTGCTTTATTTTTACGCGAAGGCCGGGGGAGGGGGGAGATTGCTATCCTCACTCTCCATTTTCCCTCCCTACCAGACTTACTATCGGCTTGGCTCGGCTCAGCAAGGTTTAAGAGTGTGTCAGCCAGGAATCGAACTCCTGACCGGACTATGGGAGGCATGGTTGACGAGTATTCTACCGGTTAAATGATGATGGTAATATTTTTATTTGTCCTGGTGAAAACTAGCAATGAAATTGAGGACATTTGTGTAGCTTTATGATGAATTAACCTGCCCGTATTTTCATTCCTTTTTTCTTTCTTTTTGCGGGACCTTCCATATTCTTCGACTATCTAACCTCTAACTTTTTCCCAACCTATTCCTATGCCAGCTTACACTGCTCGTCCAGGAATGCGGTTGTCAGGCATCTGAAACACATGTTCCATTCATCTCAATCGATGTATAGCTTCATAATTTTATCGATTTACTTAGACCTCCTTACTTAACATACTCTACGCCTAACCTCAATTTCGATCACTGTATCTCTCACCACTTAACGCATTAGTGCAGACTGAATTCTATCAGTCACGTAGGCAATGTGGCCACCATTCTGGGTAGCTCGTCATCATGGTGCACTGTGACTTGTTGATATTAATTAGTTGGTTGGAAACAATCGGCCTTGCACCTAGGTTTCGTGCCCGTTCTGACTCACTAATCAGGAAGGCGTATCTGCAACTACCTTGAAGGAAGAACTCATGTCCCTTCTGAGATTCTAACCCACGTCACCCAGTGAATGCTGCAGTCAGAGACGTTACCCAAAAGGGAGATGATTTCCTTCAAGGATGCAGATACTCCTTGTTGACTGACTGGTGAGTGCCAACTAGAATGAAACCTAGGCCAGACTGGGCTTCCTGTGGCCGATTTCCTCCATCCATCTCATGTACTACAAATGATTATTTTTAGAAAGCGTCAGTTAAGTAGTATGCTGATTAACAGAAAGAAAAAACGAAGAGTATCGTGTGCTTTTGCAGATGCTTGGTAATGTTGTCACTTGTTACTATTTGGTTTTCTAAGCCTCGATGGGTGGAACAACACTTGAACTTGTGACTCTGTAATTGAAAGTTTTCTTGGTAAATCACTGAATTCACACTTTCATCAAATATATATATATATATATATATATATATATATATATATACCATCAGCCCCAACGGGTTGATCGCTGACGAAATCTCAGAACGGATACAGAAAGCTCGTTGAGTATATGACAGTTTACGCCGTGTCTGGCTTAGTAGACGTGATATCCGGCTGGTTACCAATCAAAGGGCGCGTGTACTTCTCAGCAGTCCGCTCTATCCTACTTTATGGTTGCGAGACATGGCTATTGAAAGTGGAAGACAAGAGCAATAAATTGTGCTCAAAACATCATCAGTCAATACCACTGTGTAACACTGTGAGACTTTATTAAAATAAATTTTACCCACAAAGGAAGACATGAAAACGTTTGATGTCTTTCATCACAGGTGTCTACATTCTATCTCCCGAGTGAATTGGTACAAAAGGGTGAGCAATATTGAAGTTAGGCCATCGGTCAAGGGGGGAAATCAACAGAAGGAAACTGTGAAGTTACATTGATTGAGTGATATCGTTAAGATATGTGTTACGCATGTCTAGCCATCGCCTTCCTCTACAGGAAATGTTAGCTGACATAGGGTCAGGCTGGGAAAGGGCTAGCGGCAGTCAAACCAAAACATGGCACCAGTCAATGGAATCTACAACAGTTAGTTTAAGCCGTTCACATAGGAAGGTGTAGACCTCCTGGTTGGGGTCCTCGGGACGGTAAAAACCAATGGTTGGAAACAATCGGTGATATGGCTCAAAATCGTTCTCAAGGAATAGCGCAGATGCATCCACTCCTTGTGACTTATGATTTCCAATGAAACTATATTGTTCTTCGTTATTGCTATTCCTCTGTCTCACACCTCTGTTTACTGTCTCTAATATGCATTTCTTCTACTTTCTTCTCTTGCTTTGTTTGCTACATGGAGTGTGGCGACTTGAACTTCCGCACATCGGTGCAAAGTTCTATGTCGAAAACAGACATATATATATATATATATATATATATATATATATATATATATGTATATGCATAAATCTATACCTAACAACATACTTCCAATTCAACGGCCAAATATATGAACAAGTCAAAGGAACACCCATGGGATCGCCAATATCAGGTTTGATTGCAGAAGCAGTGATGCAAAGACTCGAAAATATAATTCTACCAAAGATCAAACCCAAGATTTGGATACGCTACGTCGACGACACATTTGTAATCATCAAAAGAAACGAATTAGATAAAACTCACAACTTAATAAACAACGTCTTCAACGACATCAAATTCACAAGAGAAGAGGAATCCGAGAACAAAATACCATTTTTGGACGTCTTAGTCAGGCGAACAACTACAGGAGAATTAGAAACTCAAGTTTATAGGAAATCAACTCACACAGACCAAATACTGAATTACAACAGCAACAACCCAATAACACACAAAAGGAATTGCATACAAACACTATTCAAGAGAGCAAGGACTCACTGCAGCACTCCCACCTTAAGAAAAATTGAAGAAAAGTATCTCATGGACGTCTTCCAAAAGAATGGATATCCACGGAATTTCATCAAGAGACATATACCCCCAAGCCAACCTACCAAAGCAAAAGCCACCAAGGAAAGCACAAAGAAAATTGCCTTACCATATATAAAAGATATCTCAGAAATCACTACAAGACTCTTCAAACCTTTAGGAATTGACGTCGTACAAAAACCAACAAAATCGCTGCACTCAATTCTATGTCAACCGAAAGACTCAACAGCGAAAGAAGACAAAACCAACATCATCTACAAAATAAACTGTAACAACTGCGAAAAACACTACATCGGCCAAAGTGGACGTCCCCTTCGTCTTCGTATCCACGAACATAAGCTAGCCGTCAAAAGACATGTTATCCACTCCCTCATTTCACTACACACAGACAACTACGGACATCAATTCGACTGGGACAACGTTCAAATATTAGACAAAGGAAATAACAAGAATGCTAGAGAATTTTTAGAAGCTTGGCATTCCAGTGGATCATCAATCAATAGACACATCGAGATAGACAAAATTTATCAACCAATAAGAAAGAAACTTCACACAGAAAGGGTCAAAGTTCAAGTCAAAGAAACAACCGGTTCTAATACAAGTAACCTAGATGGTGTGAAAACACACACAAACAACCAATCATGTTCAAGTTCACCAGGAGAGATGATTAGTAAACTCGTGGAGAAATCTAAAAGCTCACTTCAAATTGAAGTATGCGCTGAAGATGTCACCCAGTAAGGTGATGAAAGCTTCGCAAACTAACCATCCAGCTCAAAGAACAAAACCACATCAAAATATATATGTATGTATATACGGGTCTCATTAAGCAAGGAGGTTAAGGCTGATTACTCGGAGATTTAACTGACAACAATGTTTGGTTAATAATCAGATTACCATTGGGGGGGGGCGGACTAGAAAAACATTTGAATAACTCATATACATCTGTTCTACATTCAGGTGTACTTTTCAGTTTTCATTCAACGCTTTCGCCTGTCTGATTTCTAACTTTTCAAGCTAAATTTTAATGCGTGCTTTACCAAAGGGTGAATATGTAGTTTCCATGTTTAATGGTAATATTAAGATATTCTCTGACTAGTCAATAATCTCTTAATAAATTTGCGTTGTATTTCGTGAATGCGAATTGGGGGTGAGTAAGTCAGTGAGTGTCTTATCACAACTACTGTGTGGAGTTACTTTGGAGTGACTTCAAATCGGCGTTTATTCATGTTCATTCCACCTAAGGTGAAGTGATTATTGTTTTCGGTGTTAATCCCTCGCACACCCATTTATTTCATATATATATATATAATCTATAGTGTTCGTCTCAGTAGTAGTATACGAAAGGGTGTGGTATACTAATATTCCTGTTCTACAACTTAATTGAATACTTTCAACTCAACCAATGAATTATGTAATTGAAAAGAAATATCTTATCCTTTGACTGTACCATAATATTTTCTGATATTATTATTATTATATTATTTATTATTCCCTTGGGTTCCAAGTGGAACATAGGGCTTCAACAAAACATCTCCACTTTGTTCTATTTTCTGCAGTCCTCTTCGGTTGCCTAGCCCCACTATTGTCCATAATCTCTTATCTCCTCCTCCAACCCACACGATCTTCTATATGTCACTCTCGCACCGACGACCCACTCGTCGCCTCCCATTGGGAATCCGACGGAGCGATGACATGCATTGCGCACGATGTCTCGATTCGATGGTCTCCTCAGCGTATGCCCGATCAATCCATCTCCATTTTTCATCCTGCATATTTGTTGAGTGATCGGCTCTTGGTTGGTTTCTTCCACTGTAGAGTTTCTTGTTGCTAATTCTTTCTGGACAGCTGGTCATCAGTGTGGAGGCAGCAAAAGGTAGATATTGATAAATATCTGTAACTTTTTGGAAATTATTTTCGTGACACACAGTGGAAGTTTCTGACCCGTATAGAAGAACTTACTAACTGACCTAACATTGGTGTTGAAGAGAAATCTAATCTTGTTGTTTATGCTGGCTGAGTGACAGCAGAAGATTTCCAAACTGGTTTCAGGTTGATGAAAGCGTATTTTGCCTTGCCTTTCCGATTTTGGCTGTGTGTCTGTCTTTGGCATCTTCATCCGTGTTGTCTGGCTGCCTGTGGTTGAAACGATGCTTCTTAGATAAGAGAAGGAAGTAACCTCTGTAAAATGTGTCCCATTGATGGTGATTGGTGCTGGCTGTTGTTGCTGTTGCTGTTGGTTGGTTATTCGGTT